AGACGGAAAAGTCGACAACATTTTTGGAAGAGATTGGTTGAAAAAGATTAAATTAAATTGGTCAGAAATAAACCAAGTAGCAGTTGTTGATAAAAGGTTTAAATCAGACGTTAATACGCTTATTTCGAAGTATAATGAGATTTTCCAACCACAATTGGGTGAGACACCTAACATTAAGTGTGACTTTAAAATAGCACAAGAAGTTACACCTATTTTTGTCAAACCAAGACCGATACCATACGCCCTTCGTGGAAAAATAGAAGATGAATTAAAACGATTGGAGGACGCAGGAATAATCGAAAAAATAAAATACTCAGCTTGGGGAAGCCCTATTGTTCCTGTTGTTAAAAAAGATGATCGCGTGAGAATTTGCGCAAACTACAAGGTAACAATAAATAAATATCTGCAAGATGATAATTATCCTATACCAAGAATAGACGATTTATTTGCCAAGATGAGTGGAGGAAAATTCTTTAGCACATTGGATATTAATCAAGCTTATCTGCACATGCGAGTTAGTGACGAAAGTGCAGCTTTGCAGACAATAAGCACTCATCTAGGAACATACAAGGTTAAACGGTTAATGTTTGGAGTAAAAATAGCTCCTAACGTGTGGCAACGATTTATGGATCAAATCCTACAAGAGTTGAACGGCGTAGTGTGCTTTTTCGACGATATATTAGTCCAAGGAAAAACTAAAGAAGAATTTCTTCATAATTTGGAAATGGTATTTCAAAAGTTAAGGGTAAATGGACTACATTTGAAAAAGGAGAAATGTCAATTTCTTGTGGATTCTATAACGTACTTGGGACATAAAATTGATAGAACTGGACTTCATCCTACTCAAGACAAAATAAAAGCCATTATAAACTGTCCGAAACCAACGAGTGTATCTGAGGTGAGAACATTTCTGGGACTGGTGAATTATTATCAAAAGTTCCTACCGAATGTGTCTAGCAAATTGGCACCTATTTATGCTCTACTCAGGGAGGACACTAAATTCTGTTGGTCATCGAAATGCGACAAGGTGTTCAAACAGTTGAAACAAGAGATTGCTAGTGACAGGGTTCTTACACCTTATAACCCAGAGCTATCACTTTCGATTGCAACTGATGCTTCACCAACTGGTTTGGGAGCTGTGATTTCGCATACCTTTCCGGATGGAACCGAACGACCGATTGCGTTTGCGTCAAGGTCTCTGACTAAAGCAGAAGCAAATTATAGCCAGATCGACAAAGAGGCAACAGCTATATGTCGATCGTATGGGGGTTAAAGAAATTTTTCTTATACTGTTATGGACGACCTATAACACTGATAACTGATCATAAGCCTTTAACAAGAATTTTTCATCCAACAAAGGACTTGCCAGCAACATCTGCAATACGATTGTTGCATTATGCAAATTTTCTGGCAGGATTTAAGTACGGAATTCAATATAGAGAAACAAAAAAGCATGCGAATGCTGATTACTTATCTCGATTTTCAAGACCAAATTACGGAAAGGACGAACATTTGGATATGGATTCAACTTATGCCTTAAATCAATTAGATACTTTACCAATTGGACGAGAACAAATTCAAAAAGAAACTCTTAAGGATCCTGAAACTGCAAAGCTTTATAAGAACATCCAAAGTGGATCTGAAATGGAAGCTGATGAGTTAGTCAGGTATTCCATAGAAAATGGATGTATTTTGAAGGGTATCCGTGTAGTCATTCCTAAAAAGTTACAAAAAGGGATTTTGGATGAGTTGCATATTGGACATACAGGTATAGTAAGAATGAAGAACTTAGCAAGAAGCTATGTGTGGTGGAAAGGGATAGATAAGGATATTGAAGGTTTAGTAAAATGTTGCAGGAAATGTTGTTTATATAAGAATAATCCAAGCAAACAAACACCATATCATCCTTGGGAGTATCCAACTCAGCCGTGGAAGCGTATTCACGTTGATTACGCGGGTCCGTTCCAGGAAAGGTATTTTCTAATAATAGTCGATGCTCATTCGAAATATCCTGAAGTGTTTATTACAACCAAAACAGATTCGAAAACCACAATAAGGTTGTTGCGTGAAACATTTGCACGATTTGGCATTCCAACAACTTTAGTGAGTGATAACGGAACCTGTTTTACATCTCAAGAATTTCAGAAGTTTTTACAACTTAATGGAGTCAAACACAAACTTACAGCACCTTATCATCCGGCTACGAATGGCCAAGCTGAAAGATTCGTACAAACTGTTAAACAAGGATTAAGAACTATGTCAGGTGAAGGAGACTTATCTGTAAGGTTGACACGTTTGTTAATGCAATACAGGCGAATTCCACATTCCGAAACGGGACAATCACCGGCGGAGTTGTTATTTAAGAATCATTACCGAACCAGGTTGGACTTGGTGAGAAGAGACCTTCCTGCAGAAAAAAATGATAGAATTCCTGATGGAACTTCGAGAGATTTCCAAGTAGGTGACTATGTACAGGCGAGATTTTATGCTAACAAAGATGAGAAGTGGAAGTTCGGAGAGGTATCGCAAAAACATGGAAAACTACACTATGAGGTCAATATCGAGGGACAGTCGCACCGACGACATCAGGACCAACTAACAAGTTGTGGAAAACCCAATGACGAAACTGAGCCGACTGTTGAAGAAACGCCAAAACCAGAAAATACAGAGTAAAGTGATTCAGATCCAATTCCGGAAGTGATACAACAGAATGTTCCAGGAATAAGGAAATCATCTAGAATTAGGAAACCTCCCAATAAGTTAAATCTTTGACAACTTAATTTGCAGTGGTTAAAGTTTTCAAACGGGGAAGAGGAAGGTGTTATATATCTGGAGAGTTTTGACATTCATGGGTTGGTAATATGTTTTTCGACAGTTAACGATTCGCAAATTTACATGTATAACAGTTACGAATAAATCATAATTATTAAAGTAAGTTTATTATTAAATACATATACAACAGTTATCAAATTTAGTTACACAAATTTATGTGCTGCCATTATCGTTGGCACTAACTTTTTAACACGTATCAAAACATAATAACAGGAGACAAAGATTATCTATTACCTATCGTACATTCGCCACATTGTAAAAAATATACGCGATATTGATCTCTTGTTTTCGTATATTTCTCAAATCAACATCCTTTTATGATTATGCCAAATAATCATTTTATTTTTTCGTTATACGTAAAGAAATTTTTTATCAAATACACTTAGATAACAACGTTAAAGAATCTAAAGTCCATAATAAATTACTCAATAACTAGAGAAAAAACAAATCTAAATTTATAGGGACAAACACAGAAAACAAGGAAGAGACAACAAAGAAAAGATTCAACTTGGGCAGCTTAATTGATGAAAGTCCTGTAACCAAAAGCTATATAAAGCTAGATTAGATAATAAACTAGAAAACATGCATTATAAAAACAACTAAGAACAAAATATACTTGACAAAATATCAAAATCAAACCTATACAAGCAACCACAGACGGAGTATTAATAAAGTAGTCCATAAAGTATTAAAAAAGAAAAAGAGAAAAAATAAAACATGGGAGAAGTACGTACAGCAGAATAAAGGAGCTGTGCAATTCAGAAATTCCTAAGACAGAGCAAGACAAGAGACCTAATACCGCCAACAATACTCGAAAAATAGGACGACTACTTTAAGCAGTACTAACAAAAGATAGATCAAATTTCTTAAAGGAACAAGAGAACGAAGTACACGTATAACGCCATCCCTAATCGGAGTAACTATAAAGAGGACATAACGTAAACATGTAAATCCTTGAAGAATGTGAATGTACACGGTAACATGTAAGCAGAGCCTATAAAACGTAGATTCCAGAACGATTCTTAACGGTAAATCATTTCCACCACCAGCTAATTCAACCATTCATAAAAAGGGAGAGACAAAACTGCGACAATTACAGAGGTATAACAGTGACGGGCACGCTATATAAAGTATATGACAAGATCTTTGCCAAAAAAAGGCCTACAGTACAGAAATATGGAAGCAAAGGAGCAGACAGGATTCCAGGCTGGAAAATTAACAATACAAAACGTTTCTCGTTTGTATCTCTAAGTTAATAACAAGTAGAAACAAAAATGGGTTATAATCAAAAACCCATCTAATGTAAGTTATTTTCAACAAGCAACAGCTAAAATCAAGATGGGACAAAGAGTGTCAAGAACTCAAGTATTGGCTTTGCATATCCACGACCATATTCAAAATATATGTAGAGAAATTTGGATAAAAGAGGAAATTGGAAATCGGAAAACATAATCAGCTGTTCAAAAATTGGAGAATTTTGTAATTTCTTGAAAAAATACTCTAACAGTTTACATTACAACAAATGGAACTGCAGAGCCGAGAAGGGACGATATTCAGTTGTCAATACGGCATATTGCCATCTCCATTGCGGATGACACTCCTCATTTGATTTGGGCATAGAATTCAAACGTTAATTGTTCCTAAATATGCATAAAATAAAGTGATTAAGATCCGCGCTTTAAGCATACCAGTCTAGAACACTTCCCCTGGCGCTGTTTTAATTTCGTATGATGAACTTCACCAACGACCACTTCATAGCCCTGGTGTAACAGTTTACTGTGCCATTGCTGAATTTGGTGTGTAGGGTCCCTATTTTTCCAAAGAAGATGGTCAAATGGTAACGATTACTTTGAATCGCTGCTATCACATGATCGAGACCTTCCACCAACCTAACTTAAACCAGTTTGTCGGTAACCGTAAAGAGAAAAAGGTATGATTCCAACAAGACGGAGCCACAGCTCACACTTCGCGGCATTCTCTAACAGTTTTGAGGGACTTCTTTTCTGGACGTCTTCTCTCTTTGCGAAGAAACATGCCCCATAAATCACTCAATTTATCACCTTGTGATTTTTTTCTTTCGAAACACTAACTTCCCCTCCTTAACTTCCTTCCAACACTTCCCCAAGATCCCGCAGCTGTGTCTTCTGTCTATCATTTCTTCATATTTAACAGCTCTTCTGTTCGCCTCCACCCTCAATTCATCCACCTTCACTTTCTCCCTCACAATGTATCCCGGTGTTTCCCTAGACCTAGACCTACGACCCACCTCCAGTACAGATTCTGTACGTCCTCCAGAATATTCTGCCTTATTAGGGTTTGACTATCGCGACATCTGTATATAAAAGTAAGAATAAGTGGTGTGAAGTTGGTTACGTTAAATTAAAACCTACTGCGTTTTACTACTAGCAAAGTTCAATATGCCACTTCATACCCAAACCTCCGCCCCGTACATCATTGTACTCCTCACCAACCCATCAAAAATAATCTTTCTTTTACTGATGTTCCTCCCAAACACTCTCTCACCCCATCCCCAGATCTGCCCCATCACCTTATTACCCCTTTTTGCCATTTACCTCACATGCGCCGTTTCCTTGCTATGTTCCCTGAATTTATTCCGCAGATATACAAATTCTCTCACCACCTCAATCTCCCTCCCCTCCCATCTTTATTCCATTAAATTCGTTTTTAACAGATTAACACCAATAATTGGGTAACATTAAATAAACGCATCACCTCGAACATTTAAGGTATGTTGGAACTGGATTTAATTTATACCAACTTGTTCTATTTGATATCATACAACATTGTAAAAGTCAAAACAGAGGAGAAAGGTATTTTACTACTGTGCTCTTAACGTTTTCACTATAACATTGGTTTGTTGTATTGTCATATTCTATTTTTTTGAGAGTCAAGTTAAAAAAGTGTTATGGTATTTACTTTTAGAACATTTTTAAATTGATACCTTGTAAAGTTGGATCAAATGCTTTTATATATCATATGTCAGGATGGCCGAGCGGTCTAAGGCGCCAGACTCAAGGTTAACCTTGCCCGTTTCATACGGGTTTTCGAGCGTTCTGGTCCTCTCTGAGGGCGTGGGTTCGAATCCCACTTCTGACAATATTTTTTTTTCTTTTCGGGTCAAAAAACAGCTACTTTTTAAATACTTACAGCTGTATCGTTCCTACTCCTCAATCTTCCCAAAATTCCTGATGTAACTGATAATTCCCCCTCGGAAGGTGGCTGAAAAAGAAGACGCTCATTAAAATTTTACACCCACCTACATAAATTCACAATAAAAATACCTTTAATTACACATCACTTGACTAAGCGACATTTTATCGTTTTTAGAGATTTTCATGCTGACTGGTAAATAAAGAATTTATCTTTGAAAAAATGCACAATACCGAAAGACCTAAAATACTATTTGTTTTAACGGATAAAGCTAAGCGCCAATCACGTTATACGATTTCAAGTCCGATTTGCATCATACGTCTAAGAATCGACTTAAATACACCAAGAAGTTCTACAATAGAAAAAATAGATGAACCTATAATTTCGGACCAGTGTCGTTTTCTAGATGTTAGTAAAAAATTAAAAGTTTGTCTTTTATTTTATATAGAATTTAAGTCTAACTAGTTTTGGCCCTTGGCCATCTTCAGAGACTCTACAAATAGATTAAAATCTGTCATCTTATCCATTTTACAAACAACAGCGGTATATAGCGCTAGTTAGCAAAAGATATAACTATGTTGCATATTTTTATTGCACTAAAACTAGAACGAGAACTAAAAACATTCGGGTTTAGCCGTGCGTCAGACGCTAGCACTATTATTATGTAAAATTTACACCATACCTAGAACTAGAATCATTTGGGTTTAGCCGCACGTCTGTAAAGACGGCTAAACCCAAATGATTCTAGTTCTAAGTATAGTGTTAGATCTAGTTTTACACTAGCACTATCACTAGAACTAACATAAGATCTAGTCGACTTGAGAGACGTGGGATTAAATCCGAATGTTTCTAGTTCTCGGTCTAGTGTTAGTTCTAGTGGCAGTGGTAGATAGCGCTAGTTAACATAAGATATTACTATATTGTGTATTTTTATTGAACCAAAATTAGAACGAGAACTAGAAACATTCGGGTTTAGTAATGAAAAAAACTTTCAGTTGACAATGTCAACTTTAATTTTATTATTATATTCGTAATCTTTATAAAATAACCTTTAAAGTGAGTCCAAACTATACGCATTTATCTCAAAAACCCAAAAAATTCGAACTTTCAAGTTTTAATTTTGATATATTTGTCACCTATGATAAAGTTATTGGGTGTAGCCTTTGATTATATATAATATGGATTGAGCCAACGAGAGAGATAGCTTGCGCAAGGTGATCGAACCGAGATAGACATAGAAGCGTACTGCCATATAATGGGTGTACTGATAGAAGTGAGATAGATATAGAAGCGTACTGACATATAATATATCTATCTTTGTTACACTTTCACATTATCGCTTTCCATCTGCGTCTATTCACCTTGAGCAACATTTTTGTTAGTAGATATATTCAGTTAGCTCAATCCATATTATATATAATCAAAG